AATATATGGGAAACCTCGCAGTATCCAGAAGATTGGAAGAAATACATTATGATTCCAATGTTAAAACCGCAAAAAGATTCAAATCTAGCAGAATCATACAGAGGTATATCACTGGCATCATGTGTACTTAAAACATTCGAGCGAATGCTCAAAACAAGAATGGAATATTGGCTAGAATCCAATCTCAAACTACCAAAATATCAGTTTGGGTTTAGAAAAGCTCATTCCACAATAGAAAATGTTACTCATCTAGTCACTGACATTAATATCTCATTCTCATTAAATCGTTCTACCATAGCGTTGTTTATGGATATTCAGGGAGCCTACGATAAAGTAAATCTAGGAATTCTACATCAACAAATGGTGCGAATTGGTTTTAGTTGTGAATTTTCTAGAAAAATAATAAAATTATATCGTAATCGCATAATTAACCTTAAAATAAATGAGGAAATTTTAGATACAAGAACAACAAGTCTGGGATTACCTCAGGGTAGCGTTTTAAGTCCTATATTGTATACAATCTATACCTTTGACCTAGAAAAGCTAACAGACGAATTCAGGGATATTAAGATACTGGAATATGCTGACGATATATGCATTTACATTGATAATTGTGATTTTGAATCTGGTTACAGTTCTTTAAATCAATTTTTTCTTCGATTTAACCAATGGTGTCACGAGAAAAGTTTAAACATTTCACTCACGAAATCAAAAGCATGTATATTCACCCGGAAACGAACTATTCCCAATCAGCTTGTTTTACAAGACCATAGTTTTCCCGTCATCTCCCACGTAACATACCTAGGAGTAACAATTGATAGAAAATTAATCTGGAAAGAGCACATAGAAAGAATATTAAAAAAAGCCGAGAAAGGATTAAATATATTAAGAGCTGTAAGTTCTTACAGTTGGGGAGCCGATTCAGAAATGTCCCTGTTATTATACAGGTCATTTATTAGATCAATTCTGGATTACGGATGCTTTCTATACTCTCAAGCAGCCTCCAGTAACCTAAAAAAGTTAGATAATTTAGTGAATAAATGTCTAAGATTATCCCTTGGAGCCTTTAAAAGTACACCAATTTCAAATCTTCAAGTAGAATGTTGTGAAATGCCTTTAGAGCTAAGAAGAAAATATCTCTGTAATAAATTTTTGTGCAAAATTTCATCTAAAAATAGTAGTCTAGTTAATAAAGTTCACAACCTTTTTATAATGGATTTAACTAATAAGTACTGGCAGAAAAAAGAATCACTGGTTTTATGTAAATCATATCAAGGCTACTTACAATATAAAGACAATATGTATAAAAACGAACTGTTACCAATATACCAAACAAACTTAACTGATGTGCCTGAAATAGACATACGTTTTCTAAGAGATTATTCTAATTACCCCATGTCGTTGAGAAATGTGATGTTTAATTCAGACATAGAAAATGATTTTAAAAATTATCATATCATATTTACAGATGCATCAAAAAAAGACGATAAAACGTCCTGTGCATTTTGGGACCCTACACGAAACTATTTCGAGGCAAAAAAACTTCCGAGTGAATTTTCAAGTTATTCAGCTGAACAACTCGCTATATTAGAAGCATTAAAATATATTAAAAATAAATTATTGAATAATAAATTTTTTTTAATAATATCAGATTGTAAAAGTGTTTTACATAAACTTTCAAACATATCTACTAATATTAATATTAATTATATCTTACAAAATATATTAATTCATTTTAAATACTTGTATGAGGAAGGAAAAATAGTTAAGTTTGTTTGGGTTAAAGCTCATTGTGGGATCATCCACAATGAAAAAGTAGACATACTGGCCAAGGAAGCATTAGATTCCGATACTGTTGTAAATTATTCATTAGTTCCTGAAGACCTTTATATTATTTCAAAAAATATAATTAGGCAGGAATGGATGAATAAATATGATCATTCCACCAAGGGACTTTTTTATAGAGGCATTCAGCCGAAAATTCCTACCAAACCATGGTTCTGTAATTTTATAACAAAAAAAGATGCAATCAGAATTATCTGTAGAATTCGATTCAATCATTCCCTAGCACCATCTCACTTATTTAAATTAAAAATTGTAAATTCCCCAAACTGCGAATGTGGAGAATATGGCACACTAGAACATATGATATTAAATTGTAGTAAAAATAGAATAAAGACCAATGTTTTTATGGAAACCATAATGAAAATAAAAATTTTAGTAAAACCCATCAACCTTTATGGGTTAATAGTTTCTAACAATTTAGAAGTTTATAAGTTGCTGTATCAATACATAAGCAGTTTAAAAATAAGAATATGAAACAATAATTTATAAAGAAAAATGTATACCAAAACTTGTATATAAATGAAAAAAAAAAAAAAAAAAAAAAAAAAAAATTCAACAATAAAAAAAATATAGAAATTAAGAATACGAAATAAAGAAAAAATATTAAAAATATTAAAAAAAAAAAATAATAAATAAATAAAAAAAAAAAAAAAAAAAAAAAAAAATTAAACAAAAAAAAATTTTAAAAAAAACACTGCTTGCGGAATTGGATAATACTGGATAAACAACCACTGGGCACTGGATGCATGGATACGAAACTGGATACCTTCTACTAGAAAATTGTATACAAAATTAAAAAAAAAAAAAATAATAATAAATAAATAAAAAATATGATGTTTGTAAGTTTACCAATTGTATAATGTAGAATTTTTAACGTAGTGATATTGTTTTAAAAATATTAATAATGTAAATTTTAAATATTAATAGCTTTTATTTTAATAATTGTTAAGAATCAAAGTCAAACATGATTAGGCGAATGAAACCATAGGTTTCGCAGTCAATATTCCAACCACACACACACAGATATTGTAAAATATGTATATATATATGTATATATATATATATATATATATATATATGACTTACCAAAACGTAAAACGTGACACAGACATTAACGAACTGATATATAAAAGTTGATATCTGATATCTCATTGTTTACTGTCATTAGTATATAATTATTTTTATATGGGCGTATCGTTGATGTTTTTGAAAAAGGTAAGGTGGAGATATGTTATGACTTTAAGAGCTTTTTATGATGTTATATTGTTATTGTTTAAATCAGATTGAAATATATTTTATTTAGGTTTTGTGTATCTTTTTTGTCATTTATTGCGTTGGTGTTTCTTTTTATTTCTATTGATTCGTATATCTCCCTTTTCTTTTTGTTTTTTTCTGTTTTTAAAATTTTAATGTTTTCAAAGTCAAATTTATGCTTCTTCCCGCTTTCATGTTTTGTGAGCGCAGTGACGTTGTTCTTGTCGTATTTGTGAGAACGAATTCTGGATTGAAGCAGTTGACTGGTTTGACCCATATAGACACCTTCACAGTTTGTACATGGTATCTCGTAAACAACATGTGATTTTTTAAGTTTTGGAGTTTGTGTTTTTAGTTTTGTGAAGTATTTATTTAAGAGGTTGTTGCCTTTGTGGGCTACTGTTATATTATGTTTGGCTAAAAGATTTGTTAGTTGTTCGGATAAACATTTTATATATGGAAGAGTTGTATAAGTGGTTTTGATACTGTTGGGTTTGTTGTTAGTTGTATTGTTATAAAATTTATTGAGTCTTGATTTGAAAATAGTTTCGATTAGATGTTCGGGATATGCATTCTTTAGAAGGGCATTTTTTGCTTTTTTTATTGCAGTTGGTCTGTATTCTGGATCTGTTTTATAGATTTATCAGCGAGACTTATAATTACAGACTTCTTATGGGAAAATGGATGATGGGAATTGTAGTTAAGATATCGTGAAGACCATGTTTCTTTTGTAAACCACATGGTTTTAACTGTATTGTTAATGAGATGTAAGGTGATATCCAGAAAGTTTATTTTATTATTTTGTTCAATTTCTATAGTGAACTTTAATTTTGGATGGTAACTGTTGAAAATATCTAAGATTTCGGTTGTTTTATTTGTTGGCATAGCACAGACACAGTCATCGATATAGCGGTAGAAGAATGGTACATTAAAATCTAAATGACTCATGACAGATTCTTCTAAGTCTTCCAGAACCAGTTGGGCAATGACACTAGATATACTTGCACCCATTGCGCATCCATCGAGATACCATGTACAAACTGTGAAGGTGTCTATATCGGTCAAACCAGTCAACTGCTTCAATCCCGAATTAGTTCTCACAAATACGACAAGAACAACGTCACTGCGCTCACAAAACATGAAAGCGGGAAGAAGCATAAATTTGACTTTGAAAACATTAAAATTTTAAAAACAGAAAAAAATAAAAAGAAAAGGGAGATATACGAATCAATAGAAATAAAAAGAAACACCAACGCAATAAATGACAAAAAAGATACACAAAACCTAAATAAAATATATTTCAATCTGATTTAAACAATAACAATATAACATCATAAAAAGCTCTTAAAGTCATAACATATCTCCACCTTACCTTTTTCAAAAACATCAAAGATACGCCCATATAAAAATAATTATATACTAATGACAGTAAACAATGAGATATCAGATATCAACTTTTATATGTCAGTTCGTTAATGTCTGTGTCACGTTTTACGTTTTGGTAAGTCATATATATATATATATATATATATATATATATATATATATATATATACATATTTTACAATATCTGTTTGGCCTTATATATAATATACACATTTTATAATCTTGACAAAGGCAAGGGTTTCCTGCCGAAACGTTGATTAATTGGAATGGAAAATAAAATCTAGTTCCACATGTAACATATCTTTATTGAACCTAACCCAAGAAATATTAATTTTATATTAAATATAATACGGTTCAAGAAACTCAAAACTACAATATATATATATATATATATATATATATATATATATATATATATATATATATTGGATTGACCTTGATATGAACCAAATTAATGCAACGTAGAGATAGTGATAAATACAACTATAATATTAACTAAATACAACGACTCTCACCTTCTTGCAGAATATATGTACTTCTCTCTTCATTTTTATAGAGGAAGTAGTATAGAATAATTACTATTACCAAAAATATAAAACATTCCTTTGCACGTCGACGAAACTGAACCTGATGTAGTCTTCTTAAAATCTGTAAAAATAGTGTGTTCTTTAACTTTTGAGTTCTAATGAAAACTTTGCATAGCTCAATTTTTAATTGTGTATAAACTTGTATAAACTTGAATCAAGCAGAAATGTGAAGACACAATGGGAAATAAACAATTCGGTTTCAGAGAAGGATTGGGAACAAGAGAAGCTTTGTTCTCAATGCTAACACTACTTCAACGATCATGGGTAGTACAGAAACCAATTTACGTCTGTTTTATAGATTTTGAGAAGGCGTTTGATAGGATTTAACATGGTAGGCTGTTTAAATATCTAGAAATAATTGGAATAGATGCTAAATATCTAAGACTTTTACAACATCTATATTGGATTCAAGAAGCAAAGAATCAGACAAAATTGGTATTCAAAGAGGTGTTAGATACGCTTGTGTGTTGTCCCCGACTTTGTTTAACGTTTACTCAGAAATCATTTTTAACAAAGCCTTGGAAGGGCAATGTGTAGTTCGAATCGGGGAAAGAACTAATAATAACATCAGAATTCCTTAATAATTGAGTCACTAGAGAATGCTCTAATAACGGACTAAGCATAAATACAACAAAGACAAAGTTACTTGTGATTAGTAAACAAGACCACAGCGCTATACAACTAATTGTCAATAATGCACCGATAACAAAAGTTAACCATTTTAAATATCTAGGATATTGGATAAACGAGACATTAGATCCGGATGAAGAAATTAAAACTCGTATTCAAATTGCAAGACGAGCACATATAAGACTTAGATCTATTCTGAGCAATTCTCAGCTGAACTTACAACTGAAAATTAAGTTCCTAAAATGTTATGTGTATGCTGTATTACTGTATGGATGTGAAACCTGGATTATGAAGGTTAACATTATGAACAAATTAGAAGTCTTCGAGATATGGTTATATCGTAAAATGCTCAGAATATCATTGGTTCAACACATTTCAAACAGAGAAGTCTTGAGCAGAGTAGGTCAAGGTAAAGGTGACTTAATTAAGATGATAAAAAAGAAAAAACTCGAATATCTGGGGCACATAATGAGAGGAAGCAGATAAACGATAATGCAGTTGATACTCAACGGAAAGATCGACGGAAGAAGAGGAATTGGTAGAAAGAAATACTCATGGCTCCGAAACCTTCGTCAATGGACTGGCTTATCATCTGATGAATTATTACATGCCGCGCAAGATCGAGAACGATATCGGCAAATCGTCATGGAAGCTACCCACGCCTAAAACTTGGGCACGATACTCAAAGAAGAAAAAGATAAACTTGTGTTGTGGTTACTTGATAATGCAAAAAATTCTTCTAATAATTTAATTTTAACTGGCTCATTATATTGGCAATACGAGACATATATTATAAATTATAAAGTAAATGACTTTAAAATTATATTACCAATCCACAAGGAAAAAATAAATTTCCTGTAGTAGGCTGTATACCATATATCACAAAAATATTGTCCCTCGTTGCTTCAGTTTCTTAATCTTCTCTGTTTATTAATTTATAACATATTTAACTGTTGGTTGTTTAAAAGATTTCCTCGAGATGCAGTGATTATTGTTGTTTTCATTTGTTCCCCTCAATGACCTATGTTAGTATCTTCTAATCTAATTTCAAGGAATTTATTGTTAATTTCTTGAGAAACCATATTTAGAGTGCATGGTACTTGGAGTACCTCTAGCGATATTTTAGACGTTTTCTGATTTTTATAGACTCCTTTTCCTGACTGTGATTGTAGAGTGCAGTAAAGTATGGTCTGATCTGTCGGTATCTGGATAAGTCTTGACCGATTATAAAATGTTGATTGACTGTTATAGAATCAATATGATTTTTTACAATATTGTCTTCTCTATCACTTGGAGATTTACAAGTATATATAAGGTCCGATTACAAAATGCGTGATTTGGTAGATCACTGATATAAAATTGGCTGTAAAGCCTGTATCGTGCAAGATACGAATTATAAGAAAGATGCGAAAATATATTTAATATGTATCAACTATATGGAAAGAAATAGACGAGGATAGTAAATGTGGTTGTGTAGCAAAATAGAAATGTTGGTATTTGAAGAAGTGATTGTCTAAAGGAACAAGATAAATTTGACGGTTGGTTAACAAAAGAAGCAAAATCATACGCTTTGGTAGACAAAACCATGCATTGTTAACTCATTGTTCAAGGCAAGGTATTTAGAAATCGACGACTAAGAAGAAAACATCTAATTTCAAGGAATTTATTGTTAATTTCTTGAGAAACCATATTTATAGTGCATGGGTCTTGAAGTGCCTCTAGTGATATTTTGGAGGTTTTCTGATTTTACATACTCTCCTTTTCCTGACTGTGATTGTAGAGCACAGTAGAGTATGGTATGATCGAATATCGGTATCTGGATAAGTCTCGACCGATTTCAAAAAGTTGATTGACTGTTATATAATCAATTTGATTTTTTACAATATTGTCTTCTCTATTACTGGAAGATTTCCAAGTATATAGTCTACGCTTTGGTAGACAAAACCATGTATTGTTAATTCATTGTTCAAAGCAAGATATTTGAAAATAGACGACTAGGAAGGAAACATCTTGGCTTCAAAACCTGAGAAATTGGTTCAATACGTCTACAACCGGACTATTCCGATTAGCTGCAAGCAAAATCAGGATAGGTATGCTGATTGCTCACATCCAGGCACCATCAAAAGAAGAAGAAGATGTTATTGCCCAGCAGGCCACACGACTAATTATGGACAATCAGAATAGTTTGAAATTAATTGTACAACTCTTGTGAAGAAGCTTCGGAGACAATTAAAATAATTACAGTTTATTTTTGATCTATATATTTGTTTGCACAATAATATCTTGCGCAACATAGTTTTCAAAATTTTGGAGTATGTATGGAATCTATTATATTTCAAGTTTATAGATTCTGTTTAGAATGCAGATCTCAGGAAATAAATGTTGTTGTGTCGAAGTGACGAATATACAACCTTGATATCTAAATTTTACACCCTAACGTAATAAATGGTAGACTGATCTTATCATGGGTAATCCATGGGAATTATATACAGAATTGCTGACTATTCAGTACCTAGAAAAAGTTGAATACCAAAAACTAGGAAAGAATGGTAGATATATGTATACAGTGTGTAAAAGCCAAATGGAATAAATTCATTATTTAGGTTACTGTACATATTTATAAAAAATCCCGAAACACGTCAAATTTAAATTATAACTTGACATTATTTAACGTGAAAATGCAACCCCTAGCTTCAACCCCCTTAGAATGACAGGTACAACCCCCAATTTTTAAAATAGGAAGCGTAGGCTTGTAATATATCGTTTGAAAGGTCTTTTCATTCTCCATTCAAAAATATTGTCACTTTCAGGTTTATTAAGAATAATTAAGATTAAATAAATTAAGATCATGTGGTTACCGAAATTCGCTAAAATATACTCAAAACTTATTTCCCGTTTATGTCTTGATAATGAGAAAGTGAACAAAAACCATATCAATGTGGTTTTTAGATGGTAACCATTAAAAAACTTTAAAGAATTTCCCTGGCAACGTTATTTTAACACGCATTAGTAAATTGTTTTATTTAAGTTGTCAGTATTTTAATTTAAGTAAAAAGTTCGTTCAATTCAATTCTGAAAAATGGTTAGATTAACGGAAATGCATAAAATAACAGTTTTACAAATGATTGGTTACGGAGATAACACCCGAACACAACAGGAAGTAACTCGCCTATTTCATGAGAAATTTCCTAATTTACCGCCTATATCCCAAAGAACAATAAGTAAAATAGAGAAGCAGCTTCGCGAGTTTGGTCATGTAAGGCAGATAAAAAAAGCAGCTGCCAATGCACTGAGTGATGGACTCAAATTAGATGTGTTGCTTGAGTTTCAGGAAAATCCACATACATCAAGTAGACCGGCATTCACTACATTCAATGCTAGCCATACATCGATAGTAAACATATTAAAAGAAAATAAATTGCATCCCTATAAGATGATACCTACTCAGGAGCTCATGGAAGACGATTTTAATAGGAGAACTTTTTTTGTGAGCAAATGTAGGACATGTTGGATAATAATATTATCCAATTAGAAGACGTTATGTTTTTTGATGAGTGTACTTTTTCACTTAACGGTCATGCTAATCGGCAAAATTGCCGCTACTGGGCCACGGAAAATCCTCACTAGATGAGAGAAGAACACACTCAATACCAAAAGGTTAATGTTTGGGCAGGGATTGTAGAAAACAATATCATTGGTTCCTTTTTCATTGAGGGCAACTTGAATGGCAACAATTATTTGGCACTACTTCAAAATGATGTCATTCCAACGTTGGCAAATTTATATCCTGATTCAGGAATCCCTCAAATTCCAGCGAATACGATATGGTTTTAGCAGGATGGAGCACCACCACATTACCAACTTAATGTCCGGCAGTACCTCGATACAATATTTCCCAATCGGTGGATAGGGAGGCGAGGATCGATTGAATGGCCAGCGCGATCACCTGATCTTACATTATTAGATTTCTTTTTATGGGGATATGTGAAGAGCCATGTGTACAAAACTAAACCTTCTGATTTAAATGACTTATATCGCTTGCGATTAGGTTGATCACGCCTGTTATGTTAAATAATGTTAGAAGACAGTTTTATTTGAGATTAGGATGTTGCCAAGACGTTCGCGGTGAACATTTTGAACATCTACTTCATGAACATTCATAATTACTTTTATGTGTTCTACATTTTATTACGTTTTGCATTACATTTTAGTTTTTGATTGTATTGTAGCGAATTTCGGTAACCACATTATTTTAATTTATTTTATGTTAATTAATATTAATAAACTTGAAAGCGACATTTTTGAATGGAGAATGAAACGACCTTTCAAACGATATATCACAAGCCTATACTTCCTATTTTATAAATTGGGGGTTGTACCTGTCATTCTAAGGGGTTAAAGGTGGGGGTTGCATTTTCATATTAAAGAATGTCAAGTTATAATTTAAATTTGACGTGTTTCGGGATTTTTTATAAATATGTACAGTAACCTAAATAATAAATTGATTCCATTTGGCTTTTACACACTTTATATTAATGTTAGGTAATTGGATTGATCTTAATATATACTAAATTTATTCCAAATAGAGATATTGATAAAGGCAACGATAATGTTAAATAGTATATATTTATGACTCTCACCTGCTTGCAGAATATGTGTACTTCTTTCTTCATTTTCATAAAGGAAGTAATATGGACCAACTACTATTACAAACAATATAAAACATTCCTTTGCATGTCGACGTACATACTGTGAGGTAGTTTTCTTACAATCTGCAAAAAATAGGGTGTTCTTTAATTTTAGAGTTTTAGTGAACTTTGGAGACCTCAATGTGTAATTGTGTTCAAACTTGTGTTGTGGTTACTTGCTGGTACTAAAAATTTTTCTAATAATTAGTATATGTGACTTGTTACGACTGACAATCCAGTGACAGCTGTTTGTATTTGGAATCAGCCTTAAACCAAAAGTATCATGCGATGACATTTTTATATAATGTAGGGAGGACAGTTGAGGGTGGTGGTTTTGTCAAATTAATTATTTTTCAATTTCAGTTGGTTAGTTCAGTATTTTATACATTTTTAATAAAATTGAAATTCGTAATCCACGTGTTTTAAGAAAATCACGGTACAAATTGGTGTCAGAAGTAGGACGTACTAGTGACCGAGCTCAGATGATTATTAGTTGAAAATGCCGAGAACTAGAGGTCTAAGCGATTTGCCGACAAATTCTGGAGATATTTTAGAAGGTCTCTCTTACCAAGATAATTTATTATTAGCCATGTTGCAGGATCTGATGACTGCATTGCAAGTAAATCTAAATTCCATGAAAGAAAGCCAAGCTACAATCACAGAACAATTAGGTGGTCTTAAAGAAGATATGTTCGTCAAATTGGCAGGGCTCAAAACGAGGATACAAGAAACCAATTTAGAACTTCGTGCGGAGGTGCGTGATATTACTACACAACTGCGTACAGAGATAAAAAACCGCTGCTGAGACCACAATGCAAGTTCGCATAGACATATAAGTGGTTGTGAATAAGAATACATCGCAACTGCGAACAAAGACATAGGAATTGAACGGCAAATTAAGAGGTGATGTAGGTGAACTAACGAATCAGGCAAATATTACAACTATTCCTCTATTCACACGTCATTGCAGCCTAGCTTAAATGAAACGCCCTTCCAGGACTGTAGATGACCTTGTTGAGGTGGAAGGGCTCAGTAATCGGTCTTGGTCCCTCCATTGTGGGATGTATCCCGGGGAGCACGACCGATGAAGCTAAGACAGTCCAAACGCGAACAGTCTCCGGCGTCTGTGCACCGGGTGAGCGCCGGACACCGCCGCCGGACGCTGGAGGGAGCAGCAACCATATCCAAGTGCTGCCCCCTTCTCCCACATTCATGAACAATTATTTATTTGCTGTTTTTTCATTTACATCGCTGTTTTTATCCCTATTTATTTTTTTCCTTCATCCCCTCCATAGGAGAAAACCTGCACACAACAAAAAACCGATGGAGAAAACCAGCGGAAAAAACCCGGAATCTAAGGTGTTAGATACCGTGCCGAAGGATGCATGGCCACACGACACGTGGTCTCGAACGGTTCCCCTGGGGTACCTGGCGATCCCCCATTGTATCTAGCCTTACCTCCACAAGCGGGGCTCTGTGGGGGCGGAACTGTATTTCCCTAGCTACTCGTGGGATATATATGTCAAACCCAAACTTAATCACAAAAAAAACCGCGTGCGACCCGGGCGGTAATCCGGGAAGATCAGACCAAGCCAGAAGGAGAACGAACTCTCTCCCTGACATTCAGAATTACCTTAAAAGAAAGGCCTCCCCAGGGAGCAGTGATAGCCATAAAAAACGGACCTGTAGTCAAGCTACCGAATTGCTTGACTATATAGACGACATAGGTAGACAATTCAATTTGTTCATGAATTTACTTAAAGAATACCCCAACACCCCTAGACCTGTGAAGGAGGTATGCCGGCTCTTGCATAAGAGACAATCTATGCAACAGATGACACACATAAGACAATGGCTACAAGATCGCTCCACAGAGCCTGTGGAGAAGATGTACGTAGAAGTCGACATACAGACGGACTTGCGTCTCGACCCAGAGACAAAAACAGACAGACTTATGCCAAAACCCGCTACAGCGGAAATTAGCACGCAAACTGATGCCTGGCATGGCCCCCCCAAGCCCATCAGGCTAACGAGCCTTGAAGGACTTAGCACTTTTGCCGACTTCCAGAGGAACGTCCAGCACGATTGGCCGGAGGGTCTATATAGTCAAACTGAGATCGCAATAGGGAATCCCGTCGAGTCACAGTGCAACGTTAAGGTTGTTGTACTGGAGAACACAGACCTGACGATGACCCACAGTGTCCAGCGGTTATATAGGGATAAATTCCCTGAATTAGCCTGCCTTGAAGAGGACTTCGAGGTCCTAGAGCAGACAACGACAATACGGAAAGGTGCGGACAGACGCACAAAATCACAAAAAATATTAAAGGTTAGAACGGCGGGCACGCAAGAAGACTTCTGGCACATTCTAGAACGAGTCAGAGAGGAGGCCTCCCCAAACGACTCCGTGGCCCTGCACCACGTGAGTTTTATGTCAGTAGGAGATATGAGGAAGATGGCAGAGGTCATCTTTAAGGCGACAAATAATACCATTCAAGTGTTCACCACTGCCACCAAAAAGGATAGGCCTACCTACGGCTTTATTGTGTCGAAAAAGGACACAAGCTACACCCAACTCTTAGAGGGGGTACAGGAAGCCGTGGGCACGACGAAAGCCATTGAGGCGATCCGTAGCCTCCGGAGTACTAGGGATGGTAAATTGCTTATCACTCTAGATAAGGACCCAGACGCCGTCAAGGCGATAAAGACTGCCATTGCGTCCAAAGATGGTGGTCTTAAAACAAGGCAGTTGGGACAAGAGAAACCCACCGTCATACACGTTAGAGGTATGACGGCTAATACAAACACAGGTACACTGCAAAATGCACTGTCACTAGTGATCGGCAAGTGGGAGACGGACTTCGTGATCAAAAGTTTCAGGAAGATGCGGGGGGACACACTCGCAGCCACGGTTGTTCTGTCTAGCGAGGCAGCCAAAAAAGTGTTGGCAAAAGGATATCTCAGAGTAGGCCTCGCGAGATGTGAGGTAGAAAAAAGATATACGGTCAGGAGATGCCAACGGTGTTGGTCGTACGCCCACGACATCTCGAAGTGTGACGGTCCTGACCGTACTGGGTTCTGTCTCAAGTGCGGGAAGAAGGGCTGCAATGAGAAAAACTTGTGCTCAAATGAGGAGTGGTGTGTTCTCTGCAAAGAGAAACACCATATTGGAACCGCGCGGTGCCGGGAATTTAGTGGCGCCCTGCAAAAGGCGCGACTGGCCGACAAGACGCGCGCAAATGCATTGATAGAGAGCGTGCCCGCTAAATCGACGTCGACACCCATTCTCCCCCCGACAAATGAACATACCGAACGAACGACAGGTAACGACATACCTTCTACATCCGGGCGAAATCTTGAGCCAATGACCATCGACGATGATGTCTTTCACGATGCCAAGTTCCCCTCACTAATAGTGGAATTTGAGAGTATGTGTGCTGAGGCTGTGGAAACGGCTAGCAACATAACTAATAATGAAAACATCAACCCCTCCTCCGACCCTGAAGGACCGCAGGAACTGTCTGGACTGTCTCCAGATAACATTCTACAAAAATAACCAACTGATCCCAGATGACTCTCATCCTAGTGACTTAGAAGAGCTAGCTGTAACGACTTAAAATGGCTTCGAGAGGGAGGAAAGGACTTAAGATACTGCAGGTGAACATTGGAAGGGCAAAGGTGGCACACGACCTGATTTATTCAAAAGCCCTGCAAATTGACGCAGATATTATCATAGTCCCAGAACCGAATAAAAACATCTCAAAAAAATTCGGTTGGATCTCCGATAACAGATCAGACGTTGCTGTATTCTTGGTGAACAATAAAGTGTGCATAAATAAAATTACCAAGAAAGACGGAATTCTGAAAATTAAAATAAACGAACTAGCAATTATAGCCTGTTATATATCACCGAATATACACATGACACAGTATGAAGAGCAGGTTGGAAAAATCATAGAGGCGTCGCAAGGTGAACCATCCTATATAATCGCTGGGGATATAAACGCCAAATCCATTCTTTGGGGGTCCCCAAGAAACGACAAAAGAGGGGAAATTTGGAACTAATGGATTTCCTCCGCAAACCTGACTGTATTAAACAATGGTAAACCCACCTTTGAAAGAGGTGACTCGCGAAGTCACATAGACATTACACTAGCAACCAATAACTACGCCAACAAGATTTCGGGATGGGATGTCCTTGATGATAACCTCTTCACGTTCCACAAGTACATCTCGTACGAAGTCGGCATCAAGGTCACAACAAGGCACGGCAGGAAATTACTCGAGTTTGATAAGACTAAATTTACAAATCATATACGAAACTTACAAGAAGAAACTACCGAGTTTAATATCTTCAGAGATAACATAATAAAAGCACACAAAGCGAGCAGCAAACACACACATGTCACATATACAGTACCATACTGGTGGAATGAAAACATCCACCAAAAGCGGACAGAATGCCTTAGACTCAGGCGTACGGCACAGAGAGATAGGACCCAGCAAATTAAAGAAGAGTATAAGAGCGCCAAAAAGGAACTCACCAAAATGATCAAAAGGGCTAAACGCACATGTTGGCAGAACTTGTGCGAGGCGTTGGAGAACGATATATGGGGCGAAGCATACAGGATTGCCACTAAGACGCTGAGGTCAGAGACCCCATATAACCTGTGCGATGACAAAAGAAGGGAAATAGCGAATACCCTGTTTCCTAATAAGCCCATAAACGACTTCCTGAGTAGGGACGATGTGAACTGTCCTGAAGAGTTGACAGCGGCTGAACTCACCAGAGCCGCTAATTCTATCAAAATAGGTAAATCCCCTGGACCGGACCGTGTGCCACCAGAGGCGATAAAAATACTAGTAAATGAATGCCCAGAAGCCACTAGAAGGGCATTAAATGAGTTGCTAATAAGACAAGAATTTCCAGACCAGTTAAAACTAGCTAAACTTACATTGATACATAAACCCGGTAAAAATCCGGACGAAGCCAATTCATACAGGCCAATATGTCTCTTAGACTGTCTAGGGAAATTATACGAAAATCTAGTCAAAAATCGCCTAGAAGACGAACTGAGTGAAAG